TGTGGAGGGTGTGCCGAATTGAGTGTGCGGGACGCATGCGAGCGCAACACTGGGGCCTTCGTGGTGCTCCCTTATGGGGCCACGGACGGAGGGGCGGGAGGGGCGCAACGCATGAGCGAATAGAAGAAGCGCGTGGTGCCGAATTGGGTGTGCGGGACGCATGCGGGCGGCAGCACTGGGGCCTTCGGTGGGGCTTCCTATGGGGCCACGAAGCGTGTGAGGAGTGTGCCGAATTGGGTGTGCGGGACGCATGCGGGCGGCAGCACTGGGGCCTTCGGTGGGGCTCCCTATGGGGCCACGAAACGTGTGAGGGGGGTGCCGAATTGGGTGTGCGGGACGCATGCGGGCGGCAGCACTGGGGCCTTCGGTGGGGCTCCCTATGGGGCCACGAAACGTGTGAGGGTGTGCCGATTGGTGTGCGGGACCATGGCTGGCGGCAGCACTGGGGCCTTCGGTGGGGCCACGAAACGTGTGAGGGTGTGGCCGAATTGGTTGGGGGGTTGTGCGGGACGCTAGCGGGCGGCAGCACTGGGGCCTTCGGTGGGGCTCCCTATGGGGCCACGAAGCGCGTGAGGGGTGTGCCGAATTGGGCGTGCGGAACGCATGCGGGCGGCAGCACTGGGGCCTTCTGTGGGACTACCTATGGGGCCACGAAACGTGTGAGGGGTGTGCCGACTTGGGTGTGCGGGACGCATGCGGGCGGCAGCACTGGGGCCTTCGGTGGGGCTCCCTATGGGGCCACGAAGCGTGTGAGGGGTGTGCCGACTTGGGTGTGCGGGACGCATGCGGGCGGCAGCACTGGGGCCTTCGGTGGGGCTCCCTATGGGGTTACGAAACGCTGTACTGGGCGGGTGAAACGCAAGGACGAGGGGGAGGAGGGGGAGTAGGCGAGGGGGAGGAGGAGGAGGAAGGAGGAGCGCGGGGCCCGGCCCTTTCAAACGGGACCCCAAACCACAGATGGTTGGGAAATGTCGAAGAAAAATTACTGAAAATAGTGAAATTCGTGAAACCTTTTTTATTTTTAAAAATTAGCCTGGCGAAGGACCCAAACCATATGCATTTGGAGTAAACCGCAATTGTGAATATCTTCTTCGGTGGCGCTCCCTATGGGGCCACGACCGTATGAGGGTGTGCCAAATGCTTGGCAACGTACACACACGACCGAAGACGATAGTTTCCCGATATAAGCTTGAGCGCCGCGCGATCGGAATCGCGAGCGAGTCTGATTAGGAATGATCTGCGCGCGATTGAATTCTATTCGCATGAATGCGTGCATGGATACGCCATGTAAATTATTTACGACTGTGACAGTTGCCCGCGCACTCCAAAGACCAAGGCTGCGGGCGCAGCGCAAGGCGGAGCCCCCGCGACGCGCGCAGGTCGCCCCGAAGGGGTCGCAGTGACGCGCGCGGTTCGTCCGCTGAGCGGATCAGAGAGTGATTGCTGGCTGACTCGTAGCGCGCATGGCTGTGGCCGCCAGGCAGAGCGACGAGGGGCGGGCGAGGCGCTGGGCAGAGCGCAATGCGGAGTTTGCGCGACGCGCGCTGATCGCCCCGAGAGGGTCAAAGCGACGCGCGCGAGTCGTCCGCGGCGCGAGGCCAAGCAGTCGGACAGCCAAGAGAAGGCGCGGCTTGGGCGGGCCGCTCCTCAGGTCAGGCCTCGCGGATAAACTCTGTGAAGCCGAGCTCCCTGGCGAGGGCCGTCGCCTCCCTCCTGCACCGCTTCGTGCGCGCCGCAAACTGCTCCAGCTGCTTACGCAAGCCCTCCGGCGGCCCGGCCAGGAAGAACTCGACGCGCGGCGCCCGGGCGCCCGCATGAGCAGGAGGTCCTCGTGGCGCGTGGCGCGCGAGAGCAGCACGTAGAGCTCCAGCCACCAGTCGTCGTCCTCCTTCTTGCCGTCCCCGACCTCGTGGCGGCCGCAGTCCAGGATCACGCCTGGGCGACGTCGGCCGAGGGAGCAGTGCGCCGGGCAGCCGACGGCCCAGGGCGAGAGTCCACGAGACCGAAGGATGGCTGCGGACTGCTCGCGCCTCGGAAGTCTGGCCGTCCCCGGAGCGCCGTTCCCCCGCCCCGCCGCCTTCTCGCATGGTGCGCCCCTGGCACGCCACCGCGGTGATGACCCTGCCGCGCGAGAACGGGAAGCCCGTCCGGGTGACCTTGGAGGTGCGGAAGGTGAACGGCTCCGACGTGCGGGGCTCGATGAACACCAGCGGGCCCGTGAGGTCCCCCGTGAGGCTCTCGTCGCGGCGCTCGAGGTCATCCACGAAGGGCGCGCTCGCGTACTTCTCCATGCGCACCCAGAACCCCAGCGGCAAGTGCTTTAGATAGATCCTCTTCTCCCCGTCTCTCTCGGCCTTGTCGACATCGCCCCGATCTCGAGGGTCCACGACGATGCGCACGATCTGCCCCTCGGCATCCTTCACGAGGCCGCTCTTGAGGTCCAGCGCCTCCAGGAGCCGGATCCGCATGCCCACGTGCACCGGGAGCAGTCCGTGCATGCCACCGGTGTTCTTCGGGTTGGCACAGTTCATCATCTTGGCGGCGTCCTTCCTGCTCATCGTCGGGGCAGACCTGTCGGCGGCCTGCACGAGAAAGAGAGGCTTCTTCAGGACGTCCGCGCCCCGCTGGGCACGCATGTTCATCCAGCGCGCCACGGTGTCCCAATAGGACCCGATCATGTGGCCGTTCTGGAACCTGTCCCCCCGGAGTCTACGATCATCGGGTTTCAGCTGCATGGCGTTCCACGTGGCCCGGATGGCCGGCGGGACCTGCTTCCCCGGCTTGCGCGGGAACGCCATGAGGTCCCTGAGTTTCGGGTCCTTCAAGCGGTTGGACGCCTGGAGCTCGAAGCACAGCGGCGTGTTGCAGAAGAGCTTCATCACTGCCTGGTACTCTGGTGCGAGGTTGATGCCCGCCGCCGCCAGTTCCTCGAAGCTGGAGATGAGCGACACCTTGCCTCCCGTCGGCTTCAGCTGCAGGAAGTCCCCCAGGTGGATCACGATGGGCATCCGGCCGAAGGCGCCGCAGACCTGGTCGTACTCCCGCTCCTCCGCGCCCCACTCGGCCTTGCGCCCCAGGTAGGACCGGAACGCCAGCATGTTGTACAGGTTGGGCGAGATCATGCTCACCTCCTCCAGGATCAAGCACCTGACCGCCTCCCACGTGTCCTGCAGCGCTTTCAGCTTGCCCCCCGCGGGTATGTCCTTGTTCCTGAAGGACTGCGCTCCTATGACGCCCGCCCGGTGGCAACTGACGGCCTTGTGAGCGTCCGTGGAGATGTTCGCGGCCTGAGACCACTTCGCGCAGACTATCAGCGTGGACTTCGCCTTGCCCGTTTCCACAGGGAACAGCGCGTCCATGGCCGGCAGCACGATCTCCTGCACCATGGCGGTCTTCCCGCTGCCGCCCTGGCCCAGGAGCAGGAACTGGAACGTCTTCCGCTTCGCGTGCTTGGCCATGCTGCCGTCCTCGATCTTCTGCTCCTCGTCCCAGACCACGTTGCAGGCGTTCGCGAACGCCGTGACGAACAGGGCCTGGTCGGGCTTCAGAGGGCGGCGCTCCTGCTTCCCCGCGCTCGGGTTGACCACGCCGTCCTCGAACTTTTTGACGAGGCGCTTGACGAAGTCGCTGGGCCGCTGCAACTCCTCCGACGGCTCCCACCGCGCCTGCGCCGCCTCGGCCGGCATCGCGCCAGCGCCCGCTGCCCCGACGTCGTCCCGCGAGGGGGCGTCGGCCACGGGCACGTCCGCATCCTTCGTGCCCCCCTTGGCGAACCTTTTCCGCTGGGTCTCCACCAGGCTCTTCAGCTCGTCTGCGTCGAGGTCGCGCAGGGCCCTGAACGGAGCGAGGACGTTGTCCTTCAGGGCGCGGGCAGCGCGCCGCGACGCGTCGGCGTCAGTCGGCCCGGGCAGCGCGCCGTTCTCCATCATCGTGGCGGCCTTCTTGAGCTCCTTCACGAAGGCCTGCGTGCGCTCGGCGGTGTCGAAGCGCAAGATCTGCCCGAGCGTCTCGGGGTCGAAGTGATGCTCCAGGACCGCGTTGGCGCCCAGCTTCGCGAAGCCGTCCTGAGAGCGGATGGCCTGGGCCTCCACCTGCGCGGTGCCCGCCCCCGAGTCCTCGGCGCCCTCCCGGAACACGGGGGCCTCCGCGACATGCACGTCGTCCTTCTGCGGCCTCTTCGGCTTCGAAGCCTTCGCCTTGGAGATGCCGTCGAAGTTGGCCGCGGTCTTTGTGGTCTCCAGGGCCAGGTACTCCTGCACCGTCAGCAAGCTGTCCAGCCAGCTGCCCAGCTCCGTGCACTGGGCGCACCGGCACGGAGGCTGCACGTCCTCGCCGCTGTCGCTGCGCTTCTCGCGCAGCGCGGACTCGACCTCCTCCGTGTTCCAGATGCTGGGGGTCGCCCAAGACCCTGCGTCATTCCTGAGGCACTTCGCCCGGGCCGTCTTCGCCAGCTGCTCCTGGGCGGTGGCGAACGACTCCCAGCCGCGCTGGAACGGGCCCGAGACGCCCTCCCCCGCCGGCTGCGCTGGCCACTCCGGCTCGCCCTCCGGCGCCGCGCACAGGTGCTCGTACGCGCGGAGGTAGCGCAGCTCCTTCGTGTCGTTGGGGCCGTCGGCGTCCGGCAGGTGCACTGGCCGGAGCAGCACCGACTTCATGAGGTAGTGCGTCTCCACGCTCGACTCCGCGCTCACGAACTGGAAGCCGTCCGGCCTCGGGATGCGCGGCTCGACGGCCAGCCTCTGAGTCCAGTTCCGCGCCGCCGAGTAGGACGAGTCGAAGGCGATGTCGACGTGCAGGGTGCGACCTCCGCTGCCCTCGGGATCCAGCTCCCCGGCCGGAAGGGCATGCAGCGGCAGTTCCACGCGGCACACCCAGATGCTGTAGACGTACAAGCTCATGTCTCGGACAATAGGGTGGTCTCCGCGGTGCATCCAATCGTCGTGCTGGCTCAGCACTGCGCCCCTGAACTTGCCCTGCGCGAGGCCCTCGACAGTCGGCCCTCATGTCTCGGGCACCTCTTCGGCCTCGCCTTCCCGCAACTTGTTCAGCGCCTTCGTCACGTCGCGCAGCGAGCCGCCGCTGGCGTTCGCGATCTGGAACGCCTGGTGCGCGTACTCGAACGTGTCGAACTCCTCGCCGTCGGGGCTGACGTACACCGTCTCGCCCTCGCGCTGCACCTCGCGCCACCCCGGCATCGCGACCTGCTGTCCAGTGCCGGGGACCGCGTACGTGATCGAGGCGGCGGGTGCGCTTTCCGCGGTGTCGGCCTGGCCGTACCGCCTGCGCCAGGACTCCGCGGCGAGGTAGATGGATTTCCGCATGAACACCTTCCAGCAACGGTGCGTCATGAAGGAGAGGTGCCCAAAGAGCATGGGGAAGACCATCTCGCTGCCGCTTTTCCAGGAGGCCCTGCGGAAGCAGGTCTCGAAGCAGGCCAACACCTGCGGCGTGCGCTTGAAATCCTCCTTGTGCTTTCCTGCGGCGGTCGACTGGGCCTCGTCGCCGGCGTCGCCCGCGGCCTGCGCCTCCCTGTCGTCCCACTGGCTCTTCAGGCGGCGCACGCCGTCGAGGAGCTTGCAGAGCACGTCGTCCATGCTGGGGTTCACCTTCGCGGTGTACGAGTTGACGTAGTAGCTCGTGTTGTGGGCGTCCACGAAGGTGGCCAGCGCGTGCCGCTCCAGGTCGCGCTGGAGATCGGCGCGCGCAGCGTCGCCACCGTCCACGGCGGGGCTGTCGCGGTTCGCGAGCTCCCTGAAGATCTCGTGCCAGTCGGTGACTACGACAAGGTCCCATTTCTCCGCGGACGTGGTGTTCAGATGCTGGAACCATCCCCAGTCCTCCCGGGCGCCCACCGAGAAGTCGGCGTAGCGCTGAGGGTAGAGGCCATGGTTGTAGCTCTTGCGGTCCTTCTCGTCCGGCTCCGGTTCCAGCTCCGACGCATCCATCCACAGGCGCGGGGGCAGCACCCGTCTCATGTCCTGCACGTCCACGTTGCACCGCGCCGAGACGACCGCCGCGTACTTCGTGGAGGTCTCCCCGGGGTGAAGCTGGAAGGTGACGATGCGCCCGGCCATGCCGTAGTCCGTCTCCCGGAAGATGCCGATGCAGCCGCGCAGCGCCTTCCCGCGCGTGCGGAACCGGCACTCTTGGGAGTCCGCATCCTCGGGCCACGTGCACAATGTCACCAGGTTGTAGAAGTTGTGGCGGCAGATCTGCGAGCCGCGCGCCTTGTCCGAATGGTACTTGTAGCAAGAGGGGCTGCAGACGTGGATGCCGCAGCCGATGACGAGCTCGTGCGCGTCGCGGCACATCTCGCGAATCCACTCCTCGCTCGGGAGAGACTCCGCCAGGGTGCCCCCGCCGCGGTACCTCGGGAAAATGCTGGAGGCGCTGCTGGAGAGCGGCTGCCGCCAGTACCCCTTGTTCTCCGCGGTGTTCTTCTCCACCCACGCCGCCTCGTCGTCCGCTTCCGTGCCGTCCTTGTGGCGCAGCGGCAGATTGGGGCGATACGCCTCGTGGTAGACCTCGTCGTCTTGGGTTTCGGACTTTTGTGGGTCGTAGAACCACAGCTCCTGTTCACCCGTGTCGTCCCCGACCCCGAGCTGCTCTGCCGTCGCCGTCTCCCTGCGCCCGTCGGCTCTGAAGTACCGCTTCTCGTTGGGCCCGAACGGCAGCGGCGGCACCGCGACCCCGCACTTGTTCTCGCCCCCCTGCAGCTGCAAGGGCAGCAGCTCCACGGCGCTCTGCTGAGTGGCGACCACGGCCTGCACCACCTGCCGCATCCACAGGTTCAAGCGCTCCTCGAAGCTCGCCTGGTCGCGCTGCAGCATGTCCAGGAGCACTTGCAGCTGGCCCTGCAGCAGCCAGATGAGGATATGCGGGTGAAGCGAGCCGCGGCCCTGAGCCTCGACAGGACCGAAGGCCGCCACGAGGGGGCCGAACACCGCGGGCACGCCCATGAGGTCGGCCGCCACGCCGTCGGAGACCCAGTGCTCCGAAGCCTTTCGAACTTCTCCTCGCCGCCACCCGACGGTCTCTGGGCGCAGGCCGAGGACGTGGACGAAGAACAGCCTCATCATCAGCTCGAACACCACGGCCTGGCCCACGGGGTCCGCGGCGACGCGCTGCGACATCTCGCTGAACGTGACTTGCCCCGCCTCGGTCAGGTCGTTGTCGAAGGTGTATTCCTCCCCCTGCACGATGAGGATCAGGGGCTGCTTGGTGTCTGCCAGATTCGGGGTAACGAACTGGACGGGCGGGCCGAAGCGCAGGGCATACGCCTCGCCCTCTCCGCGCAGCTCCCGCCTGTGTCCGTCGGACCCGACTTGGCCGGCAGTGGCCTGGCCCAGGGTGGCGAAGGCCTTGCGCACCTCGTTCGGGGTGTCCTTGTCCTTGAGGATGCCGTGCAGCGTGGCCTTCCCGCCCGTCTGCTGCGCCCTGAGCTGCACCTGCTCGATCATCTCCGGCGTGATGTCCGCGCAGGCGCGAGCGGCCCCGAACGCCCCGGGCGTCTTCATGAACGTGTAGGTGCTGTTGGTCGTCTCCGTGACTCTCCAGAAGGAGCACAGCAGGCGCACGTCGTACCAGCAGCTCCGGAAACGACTGATGGGTCTGGCCACGTACTTCTCCTCGTCGGCAGGCACGTCATACTCCATCTCCTCCCGCGTGAGAAGATTATTGATGAAGTGCGCCACGCTGAAGCAGAGCCGAGCCTCCTTCTGCTTCTGCGGGTCCTCGTCTCCGTCCGGGGGGAGCTGGCCGAGGCCCCAGGCGCAGTCCCCGTAGCAGAAGTCCGTGGGCCTGGCAATCGACCAGTACTTCGGATTCCACCAGCTCTCCGCCTTCCTCGAAGTGGGCACCCGAAGCCTCGCCTTCCGCTGGCCGTCTGGGCCGGGCGGTTCCTGCAAGGAGCGCGGATCGTCCTCGGCGGGAGTCCCCGCGACTCCTGCAGATCGCGCCAGGTCGCCCGCGCCCTCTTCCGCCTGGCAGTTGTTGGTCTCCAGCGCCTGGATGCGCCGGCGCAGCTTCGCCATGTCTTCCCCAGGGGAGATCTTCCGACAGCGCGCGTGGAACTCCTGGCAGAGGTCCCGCAGGCGGTGACGCCCGATCTCGTCCAGCTGCAGCGCCCGATCCTCGCCTCCCTGGTCCTCGAGTCTGGACATCAGCTCGTTGGCCACAACGCGCCCCGCCTGACTCTCCATCCTCTCGAGCATGCCCTGGAGCGCCGGCAGGGACGTGAGCTCGCTGACGTCGTCCATGTGGTCCTCGAGGACGGACAGCCACTTGGTCAGCTCCTGCGCGTCCTCGGCGGCCGCGCTCATCTCTGCCTGCGCACCGGTGGTGGCCGACGCGGGCCCCTGCGCCTGCGCGACGTCGTCCAACGCCGCGTCCGTGGGGACATACTTCGCGCAGGCCAGCATGAAGTCGGGCACGCCCGGCTGCGGGGGGAACCGGTCCACGAGGTCCGATCGGCATTGCACGCCCGGGTCATTGTACACGTAGTTGTGCTGCTTCAACAACCGCGCCTGGGCGTCGTACTCCGCCTTGTCGACGTGCAGCGCCACCTCCTCCCTCATGGCTCTCAGGGCCCTCTCCTGCTTCTGCTCCTCGGTCAGGGGGGTGCCCTCCTCGTCATCGTCGGCGCCCGCGAACACGGCCACGAACGTGTCCCTGAGCATGTCGGGCTCCGGCGGGAAGCTCCGCATCGCGTGGTCCACGTTCCCGTTCCCGAACACGATGGCGGTGCCCTGCATGGCGTACTGCAAGAACTTCTGCCTCCACGACTGCTGCTCCTGCCGGACGGCCTTGTCGGCGCCCTTGCTGGACAGGTAGATCTTCGTGGACACGACGCGGCCGAGCGCAAGCAGCATCTGGTGTGCGAGAGCGGCCTTCCTGAGCAGGGGGTGGTGGCGGCCCAGCCAGAGGTCGTTCAACAGCGCCATGAGCGGCACCTTGGGGTGATCAGACCACAGGTCTCTCCGGCAATCCTCGCACACTTTCACCGGCACCTTCCCTTCGAGCGCCTCGGGCGGCACGCGCCTCTTGTGCATGAGTATCTTCGTGGACGTCGGCGAGCCCTCGCAGTCGTTGTGGGGGAAGTCCACGGCCGACGACATCAGCTCGTCGCGCGGTATGAGGGGACATCGTTGGTGATGCCACTCGGCCGACAGGCAGTCCGCGAACTGGGCCCGGTCCTTTATGGTGCACTTGTCGCCGACGAGGTACTCCGAGTGGAGGTTCTCGGACCACTGCTGCATGGCGCAGCAGACGCAGGCCTGGAAAGCGCGGGGCCCCCTCGCCTGACACGCCGCCTGAGCGCGGGCTGCCGACTCCGCCGCGCCGGCCGCCTGCCGGGAGATCTCCTCCGCGGGCCCCCCCTGCCCGATCTTGCCGACGATACTGCCGATGATCTCCGCGTGGAGCAGCTGCTTCTGCACCTCCGGTTCAGGCTTCGGGACGAACGGCTCGTCCACGGGGTCGACGGTGGCGCAGCACTGGGAAATGTGGAACCTGGCAACCACCTGCAGCGATGGCGGGGAGCACCGCACGACCCCCAGCGCTCTCGATGCCCTTGTCGCTGGCGCCGGGAGCCCCAGCGCTAAGGGCACGTCACCGGGGGCTGGGCGCAGTTCCCCGCCGCCCGCTCACCTGGCGCTCCTCGGTCGGCGACGGCTGGTAGGGCTCCAGCTCGCACCGCGCCACATACAGCGACTGGTACCACCGCTGCCCCCCGTGGACTCTGCCCTGGTGCGCCTTGAACGCCTCCCTGTTGGGGAACTCGGCCTCGCACATGCGGCAGGCATAATGCAGGGCGGGCGCGGGGCACTGGAACCACTCAGAGCGATCCCGAAGGCGCGCAGGCATGGCGGCGTGCCGGGGCGGGCCGCGGTTGCAGGGTCTGCGCTGCCACGCCTCCGCCAGGTGCGCCCTCAGCGGGTTGCCGTCGCCCAGCGCGGCCGACGCGTCGCTCGCCGCCAGGCGGACCGCGGCCGCCACGGAGTGGGCGCCGTGGGCGAAGCCCAGGCGCTCGTCCAGGAGCTCCGCGACGTGGTGCAAGTGCCACTCCCCGCTCTCCAGTCGGCGCTTGGCGTCGGAAATCTCCTTCTCCGTCACCCCGAGCGCCTCCCGCAGCCTGCCGGCCAACTTGTCAGGCCGATCGAAGGCGCGCAGGAACGTCGCCCATCGGTTGGCGCAGTCGTCGCCCGCGTAGACGAAGAAGTCAGGGTAGCGCTTCAGCAGGTCATCGGCAGCGGCCAGCGGCTCCAGCAAGTGCAAGTGCAAGAACAGGTCGCCGCACTCCCGGCGCGCGTCGCACGCCGCCTGCAAGCTCTTCGCCTCCATGCTGCTGCGGAGGACCGGGGTGGCGGCGTTGTTCTGGGCGTCCTGCCTGGACCCGTCGGCGTTGTCGCCTTTGCTCTTCGGCTTCCGCCCCTGCCGCAACACCTCCTCCGGCTTGCAACCGCGCTTCTGATCCTCCCGGTTCTGCTGCCTCCCCTCTCGGTTTCGGCTCTGCTGCATCCCCTCCTGGTTTCGGCTCTGCTGCCTCCCAGCGCGGCTCTGCTGCCTCCCGGCGCGGCTCTGCTGCCTCCCGGCGCGGCTCTGCTGCCTCCCAGCCACGCTCTGCTTCCCTCGGAGGCGGAGCCGCTTCCTGGCAGGGGCGCCGCTCCTCGCTGACGCCGCGGGTCGCTTCCGCGCGCCCAGCGCGCCAGCGTCGCCGGCCCCGCCACCCTCCTCCTCCTGCTTCTCGGGCGCTCCGTCGAGGCCAGGGCTGTCCTCGCCGTCCGTGTCGACATCGCCGTCGTCGCCCGCGCCCTCCGCGCCGTCGACGACCGGCCCGAGCGGCCACGGGCACGCCTCGGCGCGGGCCGCCCTGGAGCCCACCTTCTCAAGGAAGATGATGCAAGGTATCTTGTGCTGGGTGCCAGGCGCCCACTGGACCACGTGCGGCCGATCGCCCAGGTCGTCTGCAGTGTACCAGCTCCCGTCCTCCTCGAAGTGGGCCACGAAGTGGCCCTGGGGGTCATTCAGAACGTGGGATGGGACGGCTTCCGACCCCTCGGGCAGGATGTACTGCACGTGGGCGCGCAGGCGGTACGCGACGTCTTCCCCCCCCGCCCTCAGAGCCACCTCCGGGAGCTCGCCCCAGTAGGGCGCGATGTCGCAGCCGCCGAGGAAGAGCGCCGCGCCGTCGCCCCGCTCCAACCTCTGGGGCACGTGGACCGCCAGCAACTCGGGCTTCGATCGCAGCCGCCCGCCCATGGAGGCGCCGCGGCGGAGCAGCTCTCGCACGCCCAGTCGCTGCGCGCCCCCGTCGAGGAGGAAGTCCTGCGGCGACAGGGCGTCGTCGCCTTCGTCTGCCTCGTCCACGAACGCCGGGAGCCTCATCATGGCCTCCTCGTCGCATCCTGTCTGGAAGAGGCTGGCGAGACCGGGCGCGTCTTCCAGGATGAAGGACAGCGCCTCACTCGCGTCCGCGTACTTCCCCAGCCCGAAGTCCACCCAGTGCTTCGCGAGGAACGCGTCCACGAAGGCGTGCGGGGACCAGCGGTCCAAGCGGACTGGCGCTGGCGCGGAGCCGCCGACGTCCTCCGCGGGCGGCGGCACCCCGCGCACGCAGGCGGCCGCCAGGGCGCGCAGCTCCTTGAGGGGGGGCGTGAAACACATGCCGATTGCCCCCTACCCCCCGCCCTGGCGACGCGCCAATCGCCTCCCCTCCCCGGCGGAGGGAAGGAACCTAAAGTCAACCAGGGGCCGTGCCGGAGCGAAGACATCGACGAGATTCCCCCCACCCCGCGTCCTGCACGACCAGCGGCTCACCCTCGCGCTCCGCCCCCAGGAGCGCGGCGCGCGCGGCGGGGCAGTGGGGGAGGCACTGCAGGGGCGCGTTGAGGTAGCAGGAGTTGCACAGGTTCGAGAGGCCCGGGTACGGGTGCTGGCCGCCGCGCGACCGATGCAGGGCGGGATGCCTCCAACGGTCCTCGTCGTGGACGTCGTTCCCCTCGCACCAGTGCTGGTGCAGCATCCGCAGTGCCTGCTCTGCGCCCTCGGCACGCTCATCCTCCAGCCTCGATTCCCGACCGGCCTGCGCCAGCGCGTCGATGCGCTCCTTCAGGATCTGGGCCGCTGGCTGCAGCCTGCTGGTCCCCCTCCACCTCTGCCACCTCCTCGCCAAGTCATCCTCGGGCACCCTTCCGGGACGCTGGCGCCGTGGCCAGCGGCCGCGCTCACTGTGCCAGGCCAGAACGTCGCGGAACGTCGCGGCCGCGACGTCCCGTCGACCTCCCGCTGTCCGAGGAGTCGGGCCCCGGCGGCGAGCAGTCCCGGGAGTCTGCCGGGGGCGCCTGCCCGCGGCCGAGGCGCCCGGTGTCTGCGGACCTCCCTGCTTCGGGCCCGATGCCGGGGTGCCTCTCTGCGCCGGGGAACCGCGCGGCGACGGCCCTCGTTTCCCTCTCACCCGGCGCCGAGGCGGGCAATCCTGCTGGCGCCGCGGCGTCTGGGGGCCATCGCCCGGGCACTGCGCGTGCTGTGCTCGCAAAGGCGCAGCTCAGCGCGCCGCTCCGTCTCCGGCATCCGCAGCGCCGCAGGAGGCGGACCTTGTCCGCCGTGGCCGCGGCGAAATTCTCGCGCGGCGGGCCTCTGATGGAGGGCTCGCCCGCAGTCCGCAATCTCACTGTAAAGGTCACTGTTCCGCCTCGCTCATTCTTGTCCACATTGATCCGACATCTCGCCCCGCTGCCCTTGGGAGGCATCCGGGGGGGATTGACCCGGCGCGGGGCAGGGGGCCGCCCGCGCGAGCTGGAGTGTCTCCGACTCGGGGCGATCGCCCCGCGAGAGGGGTCCCGTCCACGAGCGGAGGTCGTCTGTCAATGGGCGCGTCGGGCGCGTGTCGAGCGCGGCGGCGCTTGCTGCTCGGGCCATCAGGTCTACGGATATGGAATCGTAGTCGCCAGGATTCCGCGAGGCAAACCCAGATGTCCAACGTCTGAAATAGACTACAGCGGGCGACATTTGAGCGCGCTGGGCCCGTCGACGACGACCGGATGCATCGGGGCTCTGAGCGGGGCGCGCAGGAGTCCCCGCGACGCGCGCTGGTCGCCCGAAGGAGTCTCAGCGACGCGCGCGGATCGTCCGCGGCACTGAACAATTGGAAAGACGCGCGGCCGACACTGAGCGCCGGACACAGTGCACTGGAATGTCTGCGACGCGCGCCGGTCGCTCCAAAGGAGACTCTTGCATGCTTGGGTGTAGTTTGGGAGCCTTAGTTTTTTACGCGCAGCACGTCGGCGCGAGATTATCGACGACGTTCTATGGAAAAGAATGAATTCGCAAGTCGCACGCGCGATATTTTTTTCACGTCGCCATAGGAAGCCCAAAAAAAGCTTGGGACCCCCGTCGTTTTGGCATCAAAACGACGGGGGTCTCGCAGTCGCGTTCTCGCGGTGAGATCCGAGCGAATCAATAGGACGTTCGCATCAAATTGAAAGCGCGTTGTTTCCGCACCGCCTGGTTTTGCGCTGGACGGTCGCTAAGAATTTAAGCGCCCTTCAGGACACAGGCGCCCGGGCGTAGCAAAGACGCAGATGGCGACGACGAATCGCGTTGAACAAGATTGGAAATTCGCGATAGTGACGTCCTTCAGGGCACAGACGCCCGGACGCAGCAAACGCCGATGGCGACGACCATTCTCTTTGAACGCGAGCCCGTTTTTGAAAATTCGCGATAGTGACGCCCTTCCAAACACAGACGCCCGGGGCGTAGCAAACGCCGACGTCGACAACGATTCGCTTTGAACAACTTCCCGCCGGGCGTCCGCGCGCGCATTTCGCGGGGGACGGGTCGGAAATATAAAAAAGTCGACACCAGATAAAACATGTAAAAAAAAAAAAAAAAAAAAAAATCCCCCTCCCAGATGGCCCATTGCAAGTACCGCTCCCGTGTCCCGTCGCGCGTCCGCGCGCGCATCTCGCGGAGGACGGGACGGAAACATGAAAAAAATCGAAACCGGCAAACTCAGAAAAAACACATAATTTCCCCCTCCCAGACGGCCCATTGCAAGTACCGCTCCCGTGTCCCGTCGCACGTCCACACGCGCATTTCGCGGACGACGGGTCGGAAACAAAAAAAAATCGGAACCAGAAAAAAACAAAAAAACGCCCATAATTTCCCCCTCCCAGACGGCCCATTGGAAGTACCGCTCCCGTGTCCGGTCGCGCGTCCGCGCGCGCATTTCGTGGGCTTGGGAGGATTGGGGAGGATTTGGTTGGATCTGGGAACATTTTGAATGGATTTGAAAAGATTTGGGTGTGTTTGGGAAGATTTGGAAGGATTCGGGTGGATTGGGGGGGATTCGGGTGAATTTGGAAGGATTGGGGTGGGTTTGGGTGGGTTTGGGTGGGTTTGGGAGGATTTGGGCGGGTTTGGGAGGATCTGGGTGGATTTGGGAGGATTCGGTTGCGTTCGGGAAGATTTGAAAGGATTTGGGCGGATTTGGAAGAAGTGGGCGGGTTTGGGAGGATTTGGAAGGATTAGGTAGACTCCGGGCAGATGTGGGAGGATGTGGGTGGGTTTGGCAGGATTCTGGTGGATTTGGGAGAATTTGGGCGGGTTCGGCAGGATTGGGCGGGTTTGGGAGGATTTGGGCGGGTTTGGAAAGACTTCGGAAGAAGATTCCCCAAAAGCGGCGCGGCCCTAAAGGATTCCCCAGCCCTGGCGCGGCCCTAAGGGATTGGACCACATCCCGATCTAGGCCATTGTGGCGAGGAAGAGGTCTGCTGGACCAGATCACGATCTAGTCTAAAGAGGAGGAGGAGTGGGCGGAGGAGGAGGAGGAGGAGAGAGGGGAGGAGGAAGAGGGAGAGCCTGCCTACCGCGGCCGCTTGCGAGCGCGCTCTTGGGGCGCGCTCGGCGTCGCCGCCGCCGACGGCGGCCCGGGCGTCGCCGCTGCCGGCGGCGGCAACCCCAGCGCCGCCGCCGCCGTCGCTGCCCCGACCGTCCTGCCCACGAAACGGGTGAGGGGTGTGCCGAAATGGTGCCGGGACGCAGCGGACGGCAGCTCCAGCCGTGGGGGCCCTTCGGTGGAGCTCCTGGGGGCCCACGAAACGTGTGAAGGGTGTGCGCGAAATGGGTGTGCGGGACGGCAATGCGGAACGGCAGCACTGGGCCTGGTCGGTGAGCTCCCTGTGGGGCCACGAAACGTGTGAATGGGTGTGCCGAAATGGGTGTGCGGGACGCATGCGGACGGCAGCACTGGGGCCTTCGGTGGAGCTCCCTGTGGGGCCACGAAACGTGTGAGGGGTTTGCCGAAATGGGTGTGCGGGACGCATGCGGACGGCAGCCATGGGGCCTTCGGTGGAGCTCCCTATGGGGCCACGAAACGTGTGAGGG